TGCAAAAGCTCTCCTCATCCTTAGAATAGATAAAGCACTGCTTTCTGAAATCAAAGTAAATCTCCTCTGCCTCTGTTGCAGATGAAGAACTTGCCACCTATGCAAATATAAGAAAGGAACAAATTAAGAACCCAAAAAGGAGAAGAGGGAAAAAAAAAAGGGCAGTGGAGCAAATATAAATACACCAATTTGTATGAAAAGACAGACAATTGAAAGGGAGTGAGACACATAGAACCCAAGAAAGGGGAAAAAAAGGGCAAGTGAAGATGCATTAACAAATTACACAACTATACAAACAAACTCCTGATGGGGAGAAAGAGAACCATTCAACAACTACCACAAGAGATTAGATGGAATCTCCCTCCCTCCTCCCTCTCTCTGTTGGCACATCTGAGTGTATTTAACCACACACAAATGCAATCGGACTATTAATTAGTGGGTTGGTGTGCATCTGCAAGAGCACAACTCTTTGACCTACCATTCTACACTAATCCCTCTGTTGGCTTCTGAACCTAATTAAGAAACAACGATAGTCCTCTAGGTCTCAAGAATCTAGCATTTGCTTCTCAACTACACTTTCCAGTTATAAACCTGCCCCCCCCCCAACCCCTTCCCAAACAATCTACACCTTAGCACATTCAAACGATGCTTTAATGATGCTAGCTTGACTCACAAAGCACCAATGAAAGAAAGAACAAATAGCCAAAAATGATGATCACACTTACCCATAATGGCATATTTCCAATAATTAAAACATTATATAAATAGTTTTCAACTCAAATTGAAGATCAAGAAGAATAAAACACAGATTCAAAAAGCTAAAACAGAGGAACAAACTCAGAAACAACAATTATCACTGCAAGGAAACTCAAGTCTACAGCTACATTATTGTTTTAGAGGCTGTGGTATATGCTGTAGAACATTAACACCTTAGTGACTTTTGCACAAGTGTGCATGCATCCTCATACCTATGGCACAAACGTATCATGCAACACAAACATAACTGGGCAGTGCACAGGTTTAGTTTACATAAAACAGGCCTAAACTTCATTGTTATAGAGTACATGAACAGGAGTGATAAACATAACATATGAAAAAACTACAAATTTGCAAGCCCACAAAAGATAATGCATTATTAGGTAGTCAATCTAAAAGTCCCTAATCCAAAGGAACCTTACAGATCAGTATTTACAAGGCGTGCACCATCGCACTAAGGCACAACCATAAACCAGGTAATGTGCCTCGCACCCTTTTTGCAAGGTGCTTTTGATCAGGCACACACTTTTTGAAGCAAAAAAGTGCCAAAAAGAAAAAGGTCTGAATTTAGTGTCATTTAGGTTTCTTTAACTTCCAATTTAATTTATCTGCTCTTCTTTCAATTGTCAAAAAGGAAAGCTAATATTAGCTCCCTTTACAAGAATAAGATAATGGGTTTTCTAGTCCAAGCACAATTTATTTTGAAAATTAAAGTGAAGGAGACGTAGAGATTTCTTTGATGATGACTTTAAGTTAATTGTGATAATTCCAGATATTTAGAACATGTTATACTAGGTAATGGAGTAAATTCTTTAATGTTTTATTAAGAAAATCATAAAGTTTAAGCTTATCAAATACAAATATATAGGATTTTCTTTGTCTTATTTATCTTTAAAAAATTAGCCCTTACAACCACTCAGACAGGGGTTTTTTTTTTTTTTGCCTTGCAATATTGCCTAGAGCACATCTTGCACCTTTGACAACATTGCATGAAAGCATTATAAACTAGCCAGATATTCACTTTTATTTACCTAAGCCTCCCCATGGGGACAAAGTTCAAAAATAAAGGTGAACAACAACCACCAGTATAGAGGCTAGACAGAAAGATAGCCAAAATAGAAGTCACCTTATCTTTCAAAAGGAGGCGTACTCTAATTATAAGTATACTCCAACCTTTATATTTACTTCATGACATTTTTCCCATTCCTTGCTTGGTAGCAATATCCAAAACATTGTTTTTCAAGAGTGGGTTAATGCTTCAAAGAGAGGTGAAAAGCTATAGATTTAATCCCCTCTACACTTTCTCCTTTTAATTCAAAAGGCAACAATTCATGCTATTGATCTTATAGATCATTTATTCTATAAAAATTGGTGTTCTACTAGGTTGGCATCCACCTTTGGTGCCTTCCAGTCTGTTTGATCTTTCATTTATTAAACTATCCCTAAACAAGTCATACAAAGGCAATGCCAGGTCCAACCTCAAAATAACATTTAATGCATGCTACCTTAAATTTCATGGGAACCAAAGTTGCTCCACTAAATGTCCATCTTATGAAGTTTCCTTAAATGCATGCACAGCACTCAAAATTGATGTCAACTTATAAATCCACGAATAAAACTACATCATCCATGCTTCTCACTCATATTTCTACTCCTAATGCAATCAACCTAAAAATTAATGAGAAAATAGAACTCTAAAACAATAAGAAAACAACAATCATAACACTAGAACAATCACAACATCTATCCAATTTTCAAAATAAGCCAAAAAAATACCTAAGCTCCTTGCCTTTATTTGACTAAGAATACACCTTAAATCTCTCAATAGATCTTATAACTTTGGAAATTTAATATAAGTTAAAAACTATGATGCAATTTCGTTGAGCCGTTGCAAATTAAAACAGAAATGCAGCACCAATTCTAACAAATATATTCTATAAAACTGAATCATGCATTTTGCTCTGCAAAAAAGGAACTACAATTTTAATAATTAATTCATTAAAATATTACCGCTTAGTTTTCCTTCCAAACGGACATCTTGCGTTCTACTTATAGAATGAAAAAAGCAAGAAACAAAAAACAATTAAAATGCAACACCAATTCTAACATTAATATTTGATGTTCTATATAAAACTAAAATCATTCAATTTGTTCTAAAATGAAAAAAGAAAAATGAACTACGATATTAATTTTTAATTTCTCAAAAATATCACTACTCAGTGTTCCATCCAAACGTACAGAATGAAAAGAAAAAGAGCAAGAAACAAAAGCACACACGACTATACCTACATATTTTAAAAAGAAAACCAAAAAAGAGAGAGGAACTTGCCTGTTTACGAAAATGAAGTGGCACTACCTCTTTCGAACCAGAAAACTTTGCCGGAGTGATTTTGCAGGCATCAGCAAGGTGAATATCGTTAACCTACACACACCATGGCATTCCAAAATTATAAAGCAATAAACAGAAAACGAAAAAGAATATGCTAAAATAATATCTATTACCTTACTGTATTGAACAAGGCACTTGAAATCGACGGACCAAGCGGTGAAAAGCCAGACCAATATGTGAGTAACAACAAGGCCGCCCAAGACGATGGCTGCATCAACGAAATCTATGCTAGGAACAACAATAGTTAACCAAAGGGCATAAAGAATTGCGAAAGGCCAAACGTCTAATCGCCATGCTTTGTGTTTCCTTCTTAGCAAATCGACTTTGTCCACTACTTTGCCACCGACATGGAACCTCGACATCTCAAATCCACCGCACTGTTTGGTTACTGAGAAAGTGCGTGCAAGAAAAAAAAAAAGATTAGGAAATGAAGAAAACTGATCGATCTTGGGATCGATGAAGTCAATTTAAAACCATGGACGGCAAAATTGATTGAGTAATTAAATCTGGAAGAAGTTATGTATAAAAGAAAAAAATCCGTAAAGATACCTGAGAAAATGAGATCTGAAACCCTAGAAAAGGAAAAAGAATTTGAGTAGAGAAAGAGAGTGGACAAGGGAAAGAGGAAGTGCCGCCCTGGAACATATAAAGCGTAATAAAATGAAGCATACAAGAAATAATAAAGTACATTAAATCAAGACTAGTTTCCTTTTCTCTTTTTTCAAGGAATCAAGAACAGATATTTATTGTAATTTATAAAGCGTAAATAATATGAAATTAAATTTATAAACTGAAAATAAAAATAAAGTTAACTTTACAAATTAAATTGGATAATTATCATATATCCATTTAATAATTAATTACAAAAAAATTAATACTCCACAAGCAAATTAAGATTGATGTGTTTGTTCATGGAAATTGTTAATTTACTAAATAGATATACGATAATCGTTTAATTAAAATTAACAACTTCAACACTTTTGGAATGAGTAAGGGAAAACTTCAATTCCAACACTCCAATGCCCACGCTAGTATTATATTAAAAAATATTATACTTTTACTTAATTTAAATTTTTTAAAAAAGTATTAAAATAAAAATATTTTTTTAATATTAAATAAAATATTAAATAGGATCCAAGTGAGAGCTTGTTTTAAGATTTTTACAAAAGTTTTAAGGGTGAGTATTCTTCAGTTTTATCCGTTTGGTCTTAATATTTCTAAAATCGAATGAATTGAATTTCTCTAAATATAACTAAAACTAATTTAAATTATAATAAAAATTGAAAACAATGAAATTTTATTTTTGTACCATATCAGTTGATTGTTTAATATTATATTTGAAAAAAATTAATAATATCTATACTAATATTATATTTATATATATAACATGTTCATAATATTTGTATAATATAGTTTAAAATATATCAATATTGGTCACTTTCTCAACCAATTTTATTATAAATTTGGAATATTAAAAATGGATCGAAATATATGTGTTAATCAATTAATATCAAAATTTAAAAAAATCAAATTAAATTAATTGAAATCGATCCATTTTATAGATTTTTTTTTTATAATTAAAGAGGGAGGGATTCGAATCCTACTATTTAGATAGAAGAATAATACACTAATCAATGAGCTAAATGTTTAGGTGACAATCCATTTTATTGATTATTTCAATTTAAATAAAAATTTCTGCTCTTGCTATAACGAGGTATGAAAATTTGACAGCAGATTTTATATTTGTTTATCGTTACTATATGTCCAATGTGTACTATGGTTACATTTTTCTATACTGGAAGTGAATACAGGACATGTAAAGCACTTCAGAATCACTGCAATGAACAATTGGAAATGCTATGAAAAATCACCAACCTTATATTAGAAATTTTATGCTACCAACAGGAACAAAATGCTATCAAGCTGATAGTTTCTTGATAGTAGATTCACAATTACTTCACATTTACACGTTCTCTCCCAATAAACTGAAATAAGAAGGTAATGTATCCTACGCCATTCGCTTATCTGAAACAGGTTTCGGTTACCGGCATCGGGTGTTCCCCCTTGCACTTGAAACCTATTTGGGCAGCAACAAGGAATGGATACATATAAGTACACTAGTTATTTCAAAGCAGGTATTGTTCTTTTCGTTGGGAGTATTTTACAGGGGAAAGAAGGGGAAGACAGTCAGCTGGATCTAATGGTCTCAATAGCAAGCACTAAGTCATCAAATTTCGCCCCTCTGACCTCCTGTACAATCTTGTTGTGCTTCAGAATCTTGAAAGTGGGAACCACCCTTATGCCGAGCTCTTTTGCCAAAGGCTGCCAAATCATTACAAAATCCATCATGAGAGATAGCCGGAGAAATGTTGCTTAGAGAGTGTTTGTGTGCATTCGGGATGAGTACAAACAAGTTGACGCTTGTATGCACCTGTGAAGTTATGCACTGTGCACAACCAAATGACTACAAGTCCACAATTTTGGTACCATATAGAAGAGCCCATGACAGGAACATAATCTCCCTTTAAAGCACTATATGGCTGCTAATTCACCTAAACCCACATAACTTAAACATCCTAACACAGTTGAGCTAACTAATGGAACTGGAATTATATATTAATGCGAACCTTGTTGTCTTGATTGCAATCAAGCTTTAGAAAGACAACATCAAGGTATTTCTCAGACAATTCTTGAAACTTGGGAGCCATCACCTTGCAAGGACCACACCTAAAACATTCAAAAAAGTTATATAATTAAATTCGATGCATAAAGAAGTTAGAAATGGATCTTTCAAGTAAATAAATAAACAAAAGAGCAAACAATATACAAGAAGCTTGGGAGAGAAAACACTATGTACCAAACATGATAAGGAGGAATGACCATTGATAATTTTTAAATTTAGAACTGACACAACCCAAAACTAGTTTTTTCCAATGCTTGAAACCCAACCATCCATTTGGGTATGTTATGGCTCAAATATTGTTTCTTTTGTCCTTTTTAACTATAGGCTTTTATCTTAACCTAAATCTTCTGATTATAGCATCATGATCTATATATCGACTCAACTAGTCTTTGGGTATGATCACATTGATTAATTTTTTTTCCATTCCACACAATCTAACACCCTATGCTACTAAAAAAGTATGTTTAGACACCAAAACTTTCCTCACTTCTTCACCCTAAGAAACATGTCAACTTTACTGCTTTTCAGTTGCTATATAACCAGTTTGCTATGGCAACTCAAACATCCTTCTGTCATCATTTCCATTCATCTAATCCAATTTCCAGCTTGTTATTAGATCTTAATCAATTTCTTGAAGATTAAAACTCACCGATCAGTTTATTAAAATTAAATCTTAATTCCAAAAAGCGTATGTCACAGTTGATGCATTTTACAACTTAACAAAGCATGAAATATACTCTCCATAACCTTTAGGAGTGAAATTCATCGCTCAAAACTAAGCATATGGTTTCAAAGGTGCGTGCATGTATCCCTTGCACCGAAAGACAAGTTAAATAGAATTGGTCATATGTCCAAAATAATCTCACATAATGACATAAACATTTTCCGTCAACTTATAATGGAATTAATAAATGATTGAATTAAAACTATTTAAAGAGGTTTAGAATTTAAATAAAAAAGAATTGAGTTCAAGTTAAGGACCAGAATGAAACTTTTTAATTTATTGAATGCACATTAATTTTGTTAAATATTAGTACAGAAAAAAACAAGTTTCCAAATTTAGATTAAAAACAAAAATAAGAACAAAAGTTAGCCTCAACTAAACTCTTGCCTCACACTAACGAACTAACAGAATACGTATGTATACCGTATATATACGTACAAGTAAGTTGAAATGACATAGTTACGTCTACCCTTATACGCACCATTGAGTGTACATATCGAGAACGACGGTTTTATCCCCGGCGGCGTTGACGATGGGCCAGAAGGTGTCCTTTGTAACCTCCGTCACCTTTCCCACCGTTGCTCGAGCCGTGTCCAAGCTCGACCTCACCTTTACAACGGCGCCGTTCCTTCCATTATTCTTGACGTTCGAAATGGCTTTAACGGTCTTCGACGACGACGATTCTAATAAGAAGCAGGAGGCGGCGATTGGGTGTGCCGCGGTGCATGATAGTGACGGCGAGGAACGAGTGGTTGACGGAGGAGACAAGGAAAATTGGAGAAGCGACATTTTTGAGAAATTATAATAATTAGGACAAAAATAAATGTCAAAAAAAATTTCCTCTGGTTGGAGAAAGCAATGAGTTGCAGAGAGGAAGGAGGACTGAGTGAATTCATATAGAAAGACGGAAATTGGTTTTTCTATGTTGGTGCAGAAAGACGATTTTAACCTTGTAAATTGAGAATTCTTGTGGAATATCTCAAGGTATTTTAGTCAGATGGAGAAACTTTTGGCTCGGATAATGAGAGGTCTAGGATTTGGGAGAGAAGGAGGCGTGGCAGTGGAAAGATGGGGACCGGTGAGGATTTCATTTTTGGAGGGTGCAAAGACGATATTGTACTTGGAATATTTAACCTGAACTTGTGAAGAGTGTAACACTTGGGGTGTTTTGGTCAATTCGGTTGATTTTGCGGGTCCAAGCTTTCATCCGCCACATAAATTAGAGAATGAATGGTTTTTCAAGTTTCTTTCTTTTTTCAGGAGAAAAAATTTTGAAAGAATGTGTCTTATCCGAGTCTTACGTGTTTAGGAAAACATAGTTTTAAAATAATTATCTACTTAAATACTCACCAAAAGAAATGCATACAATAAATAAATAAATGTGCAAATGCATATTAAGGGGTTAATTATATCTGAAACTTGGGATTAAGAAACTTAAAAATTCAAATCCAATAATTATTAAATCTTGTCAAATAAATGGAATAGACAAATTTCATATGACTTTAAAAATTAATATTTTCATTAAATAGATTTTTTATTAAAATTTTTGATTAAAAAATATTATGATTCACTAAGTTCATTAAGGGCTTAATTCCTTCTTCTGGTCACGTCAAGTAAAGCTGGGCTGCAATGGCCCAATAACTTCAATGTCCAATAGGGCCAAAATTTGCCCCTAAAATGATGGCATCAGCGGTCTCCTCAATTCTTTAGGCTTAAACCTCATTTTTCTTTGCCCAACCTTTTAAATTTGTTTGTTCTTTTCTTTTGGAGGATGGCACCCACAAACACAAGCGTATGAAACATAGAAATTGGGACATCTAGAGTCTAAACCTATTTTGTTGCAATTAAATCACAAATCCGACCAAATCTCTCTAGAAAATGTGAGATCTAACCGCACACTCTAAATCTTGCGGAGAGCACCAGATTTGTTGCCCTCTTAACGTGCTCCGTTGATTGAGTAGCAGCAGATCTGGTACTATCTTGATGCACTCCTCATAGGAGCACCATATCTAGTGCTCCCTTAATCAAGGAGTAGCATATCTAGTACTCTCTTGATGCACTCCCCAGGATAACATTGTGATCGCGAGATGGCCAGTTGGGAGCATTTTTATTGTAAACGAGAGAAAAACAATTTTGTAAAAAAAAAATTAAAATATAATTTATATAGTATTAATTTTTAAAATTAATAAACGATAAAATTATCTTAAAAATATTACTATATCATCAAATTAACAAAAACATTAATGATTACCTAATGATAAGATTTATTTATCTAACCAAAATATTCGTTTAGGACAAAACATTCATTTTGAAATTAATGGACCCGTATATCATTATGGTCAAAAATTGAAGAGTTAGTGTATTTTACTTTTTAATTTATGAATCATGAGCACATGAAGTCTAAGGAAAGTCTCACATAGGCAACAAAAAATATTTTTATAATAATTTATTTTAAATTTAGTTATTCAGATTTCAAAACTTTTGCAATAATAACCATTTTATGGTATATTAGAACTTGACTGAATTTAGTGTCACAGGTCAATATAAAAACTTATAAAAACTGTATGAAAACATATATAAAAGAATTAATTTGTTCGTTTTGACTTTTTTATTTCACAAATGAGAAGTGAGTCTCACTCTTATTTTGTTCTACTTCACGTTAAAAAATTACAGCTTTTTATTCGGAAAAAAAAAATAACTATCCATTTCTTCTTAACCATCCATGAAATAGGTGCATAAATCCAGTATTAATGTATGCCATTGGGGGCTTACCTTTATTTCTAGACTTGCATTCACTCATATGTTAAATAATTCAAAGGCTTGACGGTCAAGAGGTTGAAGCTAAGTGTCACAAGTTTACGTTGTCAACAAAAAAAGCATGATTAATAAATGAAGAAAAGTTTATATTTATACATTCAAGATATATCTCATCTCTAATTGATATGGGATACGTAACATTTTACCACATCCATAGAAAAAAAGACTCCTATACTAACATTTTATCATATCTATAGAGGAGAGAAACCCCTATGCTAGTTCGTTGCACTTTTGCCATAAAGAGGGACTCTTTGCACTAGTTTGTTGCACTTTGCCCATAAAAAAAAAATCTTTACACTAGTTCAGATCTATTTCGACTTTTGTATTTTTAATAGAAGTCTCATATTAATAAAAATTTAAATTTATTCTAATACCATATGTCATGGGCTCATATTTTCAATATAAAAGATATGTTTGTAGAGTGACATGATTGATCTATCTTCTCATTTATATAGCACAATGATAAAATAAAGGACTGGTTATGCGATTTTCTTTCCTTTTTAACTTGATAAGATTGTTTACTTTATCTTGCCAAAAACGAAGAAAAACCTTTTAGCATTAGATAAGAAGAAGACTATAAAAAGATAGAAAGACATGTAGATTTGACCCGCATGATTTCCCCCCGGTTCAAAGCTGACTGTACAAATCAACCACACTCTTGAGGACAAGAAGCATAAATTAAGCTTTGATTATCTTCCGAGATATGCTAGATTTGAGTATCGAGCCTAATGTTACTTAAACTACATTATTTGATTGATTATGCAGCATTCGAGAGTGATGGATGATGCCAAAAGCTTATTAAGTGACATGGATGATACGGGAATCTCTCCAAATATGGTGTACCTTCGATTCTCTATGTCGAATGAGAAGATTTAATTCCATTTTTGAATTAATGACTCAAAGCTTAATGCTGTGACTTATAATTTTGAAATTCGCAGCTTATGCAAGTCAAGTTAACAGACTCGCAAGGTAATGTTACCACTCTTAATTACGTGATATAAATTTTATACAAGGAAGGAAAAATAGAAAAGACATCTTAGTCTTTAAGATTAATGATTTGCAAAGGCTTAAAACAAGATGTCATCACCTACAGCTCTTTAATTCAAAGAATTTGTGATTCAACCATTGGAAAGAAGCGACAAGCAGGCATGTCTGGCAGAATGATGGATGAAGAAATTCATCCAGCTGTAGAAACTTTTTAACTCTTTAATTGATACCCTTTGCTGGGAAAGACACTTGAAAATGCCACTATGTACATTGTTGGAACGGATGATGCAAAGAGCTGTGAAACCCAACATTTTCATGTACAACTCTTTAATGCATATGGGAAAAGGCAACAAGTAGGAATGTCAATAAATACGGATATCTAATTCAATTATATAAAATTAGAATATTTTATAATTGAATACAATAATGTCAATGAATACGAATATTTAATTCAACTACATAAAATTAGAATATTTTATAATTGAATTTGAAACGGGTTTAAGTACCGGTCATTAGATATTTATTTCCAAACTTGATTATGTTGATATTCTAATTTAGGTAGGTGCTTGTCCTAAGCTCGAACCCTATACTTATTTAATAATATTTTTTTATTATTTATATAATATATAATAGATAATTTAATTAAATTATGTAAATTTTTCTTGGTGTTTGGATTTGAAATAATTCATTTCGATAGAAATTGATAGATATATTAATGATATATGATTATTAGTCAAATTATAAATATTGTGTCATTAATTTATTTAACTTAAAAAATTATTAGATTATTAGTTATGTTTGAATATCATATCATATTAAAAAATATATAATTACTATTATATATATACTTTTAATATAAATATATTTACTTTTTATTTTATATTTTATAAAAATTATAGCTTATAAAATTATTAGTTATAATAATACTTTGTTTATGTAAACTTATAATAATATATATATATATATACTTAAAAAGAGACTGTGAGATTAAAATAGTTTTGCAACTTATTTTTGTTTTAAATTTCATATAATTAAGGATAAACTTATGGAGTTCATTAAATCAATTCATGAAAGTATAATTATTTATCAATTTGTAATGTCTTTTAATATATGTACTTTATATATTATATTAATTTATAAGGAATATAATAATAATTATTATTATATATACTTTTAATATTAACATATTTATTTTCTATTTTATGTTAACATTAAAAGAATTACAATTTATAAAATTATTAATCATAAATATATATTTTTATTTACATAAACTTAAATTATATATACACCTAAAAAGAGGTTGTGAGATTAAAATATAATTATTGGTTGTTTGCTTTAATAAATTTAAATTAAACAATAATTGTTATAAACTTGTAATTTTATCATTTGTTTGTTTTAATAAATTTAATTACTAGTAAATCGTATGGAATATAGATGTAAATTGTGAAATATAATTCAATTGTATATAGATATGGGTACCTATTAAAAGTTAGAGTAATTAGGTACCTATTAAAAGTTAAATAAAAGTTTTTAACATAATCGAGTTTTTAAATAAATTCAAATAATTATAATATAATAGATATATATTAAGATTTAAATTAGATAATAAATTTTAAAAATATCTAAATAATTATAAAATTTAAATATCTTATAATTTAATAAAATTCGAGTACCTTAAAATTAATAAATATCTTACCCATTCACATCTTTATCTGCAAGCTTGCTAATTGGAATGGTTAATGGACAAATCTCACCCAACGTTGTAATTTACAACAAATTGTTAGGCGCAATTAGCAAAGACGGAATGATGATGCAAGCTTAGCAGAAAAGTGTAAAAGCCAAATGACAATTTTATTTTGTGGATCGAATAAAAGAAAAAAGCCAATCTTGTTGGCCATTCTAATTAAACTTGGATTCAAATTTTACACGTCTCCTGCCTAGCTGCCTCATGTCCGTAGTTGTTACTACGTCTTAATCTTTTAACTTTAACAAAATTAATAATTCTAGCATAGGGAACATCTACCAAGTCTTTATTCAACGTAATTATAATAATAAAAAACAAAAAAACC